ATAACTTTCCTGTTCTTATACTAAATAATACTGAGAATAAGCAAAAATAACTATTTGCTCCAGGAAATATTTGATCCTAGACTATGAACTAGCAAAAAGCTTACTTATGAATACTAGTATTTTACTCATTGAGACTTGCTTAAAGACTGTTGCTTCACTGTGCCTACCAATCTAAAATTACTGTTGTAAACTCTGCCTAGTCTCAGTCAGTTTCCTGCTTTACAAAACTCTCTTTAAAACCACCCAGTTTGGGCCCTAAAGCCCTGTAAATATCCTCCCCCTGACTTTCTGTGAAATTATTATGCCTTTGTCAAGTTGGCATTCTCTTTAATGCTGTAAATTTAATAAATTTAACTTTATTGATTAACAGGTTTTTAAGGGGTCTTGTGGAGAGTTTGTATTCACTAGAAGTAACCTTGAGAGTGCTAGTATACCTTCTATTAACCCTCCTCTAAAGATTCTCTTATATCCCCACTCCAGGGAAGATTCTGAAGTTAGTGTGTATGCAATGGAAGCTAAGAATCACATGGATTTTCAAAGACAGTTTTTTACCTTAAACACTAGTCAGATTTCTCCGTAGCCACAGTTCTAGGTCCAAGGTCAAAGGAATCTATTAGAAATTAAAATATATAAGTGAAAGTAGCAATGTTACATCTGATATTTAGTGTTTTCTTCAAGTAAAGCAAAACTCTTCAGTTTGTGTGTTTGCTTCAATGAAATTGTGTCATCGGCTTAACCTCAAGCCCAGGAATTGAAGAGGAGATAAATCTTCACCCAGTCAGTTGACTGTTAGAAAGGAAGGAAACTTTAATAACTCTATGACAACAATCAGCTAAACACTTTACTGCAGAACCTACGGAAATAAGATGGCTCCTCTACTCACCTTTGCTAAAAGTTAATGTCTGGTATCTCAGAAGTACACATAGAATTGAGCAGCCCATGTTGCTTGGAAATTACAATGCCCATAAGTATTAAAATGTAAAACTTTTAAAAAATTGATTAATAAAATAATTCTAATTGTTTGTAAAAATTACTATATAATAATAAATAATAACTTTAAAATAAAATAATTCTAATTAAAACTTGCATTTGAACAAAATACCTATGGTACGCTTCTGGTATACACAATTAAAATTGTTAAAGGTATTGCCAAATTTTTATCCAAAAGTTTGCACTGATGTATAAAGTGCATACTGATATATACATGTTTAAGGCTCTGAAGATACACTACCTAATTGTTCTCCAAAAAATGTGAGCCAGTTGATTTTCCAACACTGAAGAAGAATGTTCATTTATCTGTTGTTAAAAGAGAATTTTTCAAAGAAGTTATAATCGTGAACAGGAATAATAATGGGTATTTATAGAAGACTTCAGACATTGCAAAGTCTTCATAGATACTAACTCGCCTGGTCATTTTAGCATCCCTGTAGCAGGGAGGGTTGCTTCCCCTATTTTACAGATGCAGAGATTGAGCCTCAGAGAAGTAAGGGCACCCAGAGTCACAGACTCTCAGTGGAGCATATGGACTTGTATGTGATTCTTAGATCCTGTGTTCCTTTTTCATGTACCTGGCCACATACGTAATCATACTCTCTATGTTCTCAGCCTCTTTGAGAGCCTTCCAGATCCCTCCTTTAGCCCCTCTAGCCTTCTGCATATTTAATAGAAAAAACAAAGAAAATATACTTTGAAATTTAAAGGGAGAAAAATCACTTTGTTTCATCCATAAACAACCACTTTGACATTTTAGTCTTTTTATTCATATATGTGTGAATATCTGTGTAAGATATAATTTTCAACTGATATGTTAAACTGCCTTTATAAAATCACAGCTTTCCACAACTGCTTTTATAGAATCCAGAATTTATATTTAGAAGAAAGCTCGAGGCCTTTAATACCTTTCTTCCTTGTTTGAGGATCTTGACTGGGTCTGCCCAGACACTGCTTATATCTTGCAAGGGCTGGAAGCCCAGTTTGCACCAAGACCATCCATTCCAGGGTTGGAAAACTCTTATCCCATTTTTTCCTACTGAAATGACAGAAGTACCCCTTTGGACTTCTATTCTCAGATTGAATGCCCCTGATTTTCATGATTATTTCTTGCTTGATGGAATTTTCAGTGTCTCGTGATGCTGGTCACCCTCCCTTGGGGAGTCTGTCCATTTATAACACTGCCTCCAGCCCCGAACAAGTGCAGCCTGGCAGATGTGATGTGCAGGGGCTACTACCCTGACCCCAGACACTTGACCTCCAGTAACACTGCCCAGGATGTCACTGGGTATATTTTTAGTAGCTACTTTTACTGTAAACTTTTGGATTGGTCTTAAAAATCCATCAATCAGGATTAATTTTGAGAAAAATAATGCCAGTCTGAACACTGCCTTTTCAAATCCAAAATCTATTTTGAGGAGTAGAAAGGGAGCCTAACATTGGTTGGTGTGTGTGTGTGTGTGTTCACCATCAGATGTAATGCTGGGCACATTCGTATCTATTATTATTATAGTTACTATTACTGTCATGGCAGCTTCAGTTGATTGGGGCCCAACTGTGCCCTAGACATACATTAATATCTTCATTTCATAGAGCCCCAGGACTATTAATTGTTGTTTTACACACAAGGAAAGGAAGGCAGGGAAATTGGACAACTTGTCCAAGGTCCGACACCAGTAAGACAGTGGAGTCCCAATTTAAACTCAGATGTCTTGGCCCAACACCCATACACTACATTTATATTGTATTGCCTCAGAAAAACGCAACCTGCTAGTTAGTGATCAAGTTCAGACTGAGACTCCCTGGGCCCAGCTGATGGTGGAGCAAGTGATTTGGAACCTCCACACAGTGTCAGAGGAAACGGCAACAGAGGTGTCTGAGTCTTTGCAATTAAAGATTTTAGAAGACAGTACTATCCAGAATCCTTTGTCCTACCTTGAATCTCAGAACTTTAGAAAGAAACCTTGGGTGCTATATTGGTTCAACCATATCCTTTTCATTATACTTTTATTAAAAATTATATAACACTATTAAAACAACCTTAAATATTTCATAATATTATTTCATTGACAATCCCATGAACTTAATATAACAACAGATTTTTTCATTTGGTTCCATTCATGTATATGTGAATTTGTATTTATATTGGGAAATCCCAAGAAATAGTGGAGAACATGCCTCAGAGTTGTCCTATCCAAGGGAGAGGAGGTTGGGGTACTCACCCACCAATCACTGGTTGAGGGTTGCTCCTAAATGTGTTAGCTCCCTGGTATTTGGGCCCACTTCAGCAGTTAAGTACCTATGGTTGAGAAAGCCTTTATGTAGAAAGTTGCAGATGCTTTCAGGGGGATGCCATTAGCAGGAATAGCACAAGGGACTACAGTCAAGGCATGGCAGCATCTGCTACAGAAGGTGATATTTACACAAAGGCTTAAACAAAGGGAGGAGTGACCATGTAGACATCTCAGAGAAGAATATTTCAGGCAGAGGGAAGAGACAGTGCAAATGTCCTGAGGCAGAAGCTGCCTGGCATATTTGAGGAACAGTAAGGAGGCCCATGTGGTCAGAGCAGAGTGTGCAAATAAAGTCATAGGAAGCAAGATCCTGTAGAGCCTTGTGAACTGTTTTAAGGACCTGAGTTTTACTCTAAGGAAAATAGGAGTCGTTAAAAGTTTGAGAAGAGGCATGATGTGATCTAACTTACATTTTAAAAGGATCACAACCAGGCTGCTTTTCTAGAAACAGTCTATGAGAGAGTAAGAAAATAAGGAAATACGGACACAGTGTGGAAGCTGTTAAGAGTATCCAGGCAAGAGATGATAGTGGCTTAGACCAGGGTAGGGGCAGTAGAAGGATGAGAAATTATCAGATTTTTAAAATAGTACAATGGTAAAGTCCATTGAATTTCTTGACAGACTTGATGTGGGAGGTAAGAGGAGTTAAGTACAATACTTTAGCCTGAACAATAGAACTGAAATAAAGGAAACAGTAGATGGAGCATGTTTTCAGGGGGAGAGCAACTGAGCATTTAGGGTTTTGGTTGGTTTGTTTGTTTTTGAGCATTTAGTTTTAAACACAATGATTTTCAGATGTCTTAATAGACATTCGACTGGAGATGCCAAGTTAGCAGTTAGCTATACAGGCATACCTTGTTTCACTGCCCTTTGTTTTATTATACTTCACAGATACTGTGTTTTTTACAAATTGAAGATTTGTGGTAACCCTGCATTGAGCAAATCTACTGACACCATTTTCCAACATTTGCTCACTTTGTGACTCTGTCACATTTTGGTATTTCTCACAATATTTCAAGCTTTTCATTATTATATTTGTTATGGTGATCTGTGATCAGTGATCTTTGATGTTACTAATGCAAAAAGATTATAATTCACTGAAGGCTCAGATGATAGTTAGCATTTCTTAGTAACAAAAATTTTTAAAATAAGATATGTACATTTTTTAGACATAGTGCTATTGCACACTTAATAGACTATGGTATAGTGTAAACATAACTTTTATATGAACTGGGAAACCAAAAAATTCATATGACTTGCATTATTGTGGTATTTGCTTTATTGCAGTATTCACTTTATTGCAGTGGTCTGGAACCAAACCTGCAGTATCTCCAAGGTATGCCTGTAGAGGTTTGGAGATCAGGAGAGCAGTCTAGGCTAGATATATAAAATTGAGAGTTGGCACATGGGTGATGTTTAAAGCCACAAGACTGGACAGGATCATCAAGAGAGTGATCTCCCTGTTATCTCCTCTGAATCTCTGATTAGATGTATACTGGATCTTCTCATTCTGCCCACCATGTCTCTTATCCATACTTTCAGTTTTCTTTCTCTTCCTCTCTCTATTCTACAATTCCTGGTAATTTCTTCAGATCCAACATCCAGGTCATTACTTCTCTCTTTTACTGTTTCTAGTCTGTCATTTTTAACTTTTAGAGCTACATTTTCTTTATTCCTAGGAATTCTTGTTTTTAAAAAATATGCACTGTATTTTGATAGCCTTTATCACATTTTTGATTCCTACTTGTCTTTATTTAAAACGTACATATATATTGTATAATCTTTATCCAGTAATTTATCTGGAATTCTTATAAGTCTAATCTTTCATTGTGCCTCCTCTGTGATAGGTTGTTTCCATGTACACCATATATACATGCATGTGTATGTGTATTTAATCTTTGGAGCTCACGTTTACCAGGGCTTTGTAAGTGCTGTGTAGCTGGGTAAAGGGGATGTACAGTAGTTTTTTTTAATTTGATTCTACTAGGTATTTCAGCCATGGGCGAATTTTTATGTTAATTCCTTAGCCTGGTGGTTCCTGGCCCACACAGTGTAAATTTGAATCCCAAACCTGTGCATGGTTAGAAATTCTCACAGGATCTATTCTCCCTCATTCTTGGGGAAAGTTTCCTTGCTGTTTCTCCATGTCAGCAGGGGAACTTTTGCTAGCTCATCTCTTCATCAAGTGCCACCTTTATGCAGGGGGTCTCATTTCCAAATTCCTATGGCACATGGGCCAAAGTCTTATTTCTCACATTTATGTAGACATTAACGCTCAAGAGCAACCATCCGCTCACATACCTTCTCCTGGCCCTAGCAGACACAGCTGGTTAACATGCTGACCATTCTAGTTTTCAGTCCTCCAGCTCCTCGCAGTTCCCTTTCTTTTCTGCAAATTTAACTTTGCAGTTCAAAGAATGTTATACTTTAGCTGGCACCTTTGTTTGTAGCTGGATTGTTTTCAGGTTACCTTATCTGTCACATTGACGGAATTAGAAGTCCCTTCAGGGGTGATTTTTATGGTCAGATTAGCTCAGAGGGTACTATTTTCTAGAACCCATTTTTAGGCCCATTTGAGTGAACACAGTGCCTCCTAACTCCCTGTTATGTTGGAGGTGTCTGCTCCTGTGTGGAGTTTGCGTGGAGGGTGAGCACCATCCTCCTTTATTCTTGTGGCTCTCCCCACACTGATGATCACGTTTCTGTTTGCGCCAGAATTGACCAGAGAGGCTTATGTGGTGAAGCATGAGCTAGAGACAAATAGGACAGGCTGCCATGACAGAGGCCCAGCTTGCCCTGGCCTGTAGGCCCCCAGGACTGGCTGTTCAGGAGTTCTGTGGAGGGACATCCTGTGTGCCACATGCCATTCTAGCCAGTGATGGGGGATGAAGGGAATGGGGCATTGGTAATGCCTCAGACAGCTGTGTCCCGTGGCCCCAACAAGATGATGTACCCCCTGTCTGCTGTGTCCTATTTCCTGAGCTGCCCCAATGACCTGGGAACCCAAAACAGGTCCTGGTAAGGGCAAGGGCAGCCAAGAAGGGAAAGAATCAGAACTCTCTGTGCAAGGCCTCCGACAGCTGAGAGGATGAGTAGAGCCTGGACACATCTGTCTGCTTGGCCACAATTAAAGGAAACATGAGGACTGACCAACAAGGCTGTGTGCACATCGTTAAGTGCTGGTCAGTGGCAGCCCCCATGTGTCATCTAGGGAAATGAAGTCAGGGACTTCAGAGCTGCTCTGGGAAGCCTTAGCATAGCAGGAGTCTCTAAAAGTTGTTTCAAATTTGACACAACATTGTAAAATGACTATAACTCAATTTAAAAAGTTAAAAAAAATTAAATTAAAGTTGTCTCAAGACCATTGTGTATCAGTCAGTGAAAGAGAAAGGGGTAGACAGGAGAGAGGGCAGAGACTTCAAGGAAAGCCTTTCAGCTTTCTCCCTTCTATTAAAGCCCCATTCGGCTGCTCACTGATGGGCTGAAGAACACAATCACTGGGTCTTTGATTGGACAGGTGCCATTTAGTTCAGCCTTCCATCTGATGCAGTTTCTGCCATCTCCTTGCCAAACAGCCTCCCACCATGGGCTCTCACTGCTAAGTTCGTGGTAGGACTGATCTCATTTTAAGCCTCTTCTTATTTTGAGATAAAAATCTGCCTTTCAGTCATTTCCACCTATACCCCATCCTCTCCTGGTTTCTGAGGAAGGAAGGCCTCCTGCCTTCATTGGCTCAGGAACACAGAGGATGCCCTGAGAGAACCTATGAGGGAGCTGTGGGAACCAAGGCTTTGCAGACCCAGGTCATTCCCAGGATGGCCATCCAGGAAAGGAATGAGGTTGACCAGTGGAACAGAGGCCTGCGGGGGGAGCCGGGCTGATCTACTTTTTCACTTTCTTACTGGAGACTCGGTTAGGATCCCATCTGTATACAGGGAAGACATCCTCCCAGATAGGAAATTAAATAAAGTTCTTGGATGAGCACTGGAAGTCCAGACTAGAAAGCTATTTTATCCTGTTTCTGCACATAAGATAGTGAATGGAAACCAAAAGTACTCTGTGAAGATAGGCAAGAGTGTCTTTTGAAGGCTGTCCTGTCCCTCTTGGCAGGCAGGCCATTGAGTGTTCTCTGTGCTGGGCCCCAGCCTTGGAGCAGAGGGTTGGAGTCTGGGCAGGTGCTTTGGCAGCTCCACTAGAGCAGGCAGGAGTTGCTGGGGGTGTGGTCCTTCAAGGCACTGGCGATGAGTCCTTATTTCCTCTGTGTCTGCTGGAAGCCCATCATGGTTTTCAAATAATTTTGCTGGACACAGAAAAGGGGAGAAAACAGGAGTTGATTAGGACATGTGGACTTAGGGAAGACTCAGAAACCATGCCACTTACATCTACCCCATCATTCTTCCTGAAGACATCACCATTTAGGGACAAGGATTCCCTCCAACTAGCCCCAACTCTGTGAGAAATAATGTTCCATTCAATCCTTCTCATTCTTTTATCCTAAAGAAAGTGTGTAAAGCTGTTTTTTAAATGGTGGGGCAGGCATGCTTAAAAAGAGACATCATGTTTCAAGGGCCCCCTTGAAGGCTTCTGACAAGAATTAGGTTCGAAAAGATAAGAAAAGGGTTCTTTCTCTAGAAGATGGGGGCCCATATACTCTGAAGGGCCCTCTCTCTGCAAATCAACTAGGCGTTCATGAATCCTAGCCTTCTAATGCACTGCTAAGCTCTCAGAAAGCTGGTGGAGAAAGTAAGCTGAAGCTGAATCAGTGGGCAGTAACCAAGCAAATGCTAAAACCAACTTGGAATATGGAGGTGAATCTCAGATTCCCCACACAGTGAATCTGAACAGAAACTGAAGGTCCCACGTTAAGCTGGAATTCTTTTTTTCCCCTAATTTTTTATTGTGGTAAAATACACATAACATAAAATTTACCGTCTCAACTATTTTTAAGTGTACAGTTCTGCGGTATTAAATACACTCATAATGTTGTGTAACCATCACCACCATCCATCTCCATAACTCCTCTCATCTTGTAAAATGGAAATTCTCTGCCCATTAAACAGTAACTTCCCATCCCCCCTACCCCCAGCCCCTGGCAACCACCATCCTTTCTGTTCCTACAGTTTTGACCATTTTGAGTATGTCCTATAAGTGGAATCTTACAGTATTTGTTTTTTGGGTTTTTTTTTTTTTGTGAATGGTTTATTTCATTTAGCATAGTGTCCTCAAGATTCATCCATGTTGTAACATATATCAGAATTTCCTTCCTTTTTAAAGCTACTAATACTCCATTGTATGTATATGCCACATTTTGCTTATCCATTCATCTGCTGATGGACACTTAGGTTGCTTCCACATTTTAGCTACTGTGAATAATGCTGCTAGGAACATAGGTGTACAAATATATCTTTGAGACCCTGTTTTCAATTCTTTTGGGTATATACCCAAAAGTGGAATTGTTGGATCATATGGTAATTCTATTTTTTATTTTTTATTTTTATTTTTAATTTTCAAATACTCTTTTTCACAGCAGTTATACTATATTTTTCCACTTTTTTACTCTGGTAAAATACACAAAATTTATCATCTTAACCAGCTTCAAGTATACAGTTCAGTGGTATTAAATACATTCACAATGTTGTGCAACCATCACTATCATCCATCTCCATAACTCCTTTCATCATCCCAAACTGAAACTTCATACCCCTTGAACAATAACTCCCCATTCCTCTCTCCTACTAGACCCTGAAAATCACCATCCTACTTTCTATCTTTATGATTTGACCACTCTAAATACCTCATATAAGTGGAATCATACAGTGTTTTTATTTTTGTGACTGGCTTATTTCACATAGCAGCTGTACCATTTTACATTCCCACCAACAGCACACAAGGGTTCCAACTACTCCAAATACTTGCCAACATGTGTTATTTTCTGGGTTTGTTTGTTTGTTGACAGTAGCCATCCTAATGGGTATAGAGTGGTATCTCATTATAGTTCTGATTTGCATTTGGTTTGTGACATTGAACATCTTTTCATGTACTTATTGGCAATTTGTGTATCTTCTTTGGAGAAATGTCTATTCAAGACCTTTGCCCATTTTTGAATTGGGTTTTGCTTTTTGGTTGTTGAGTTTCAGGAGTTTTCTATATATTCTGGATATTAATTCCTTATCAAGTTGGAATTCTTGAAGGAGCTTAAAATGGTCCTGGATTGGTTATGCCCCATGGCTAAAGGCAAAAGTAGGTCAAACTCTTTCAGGAGGAGAGTAATTTCACCTTACGCACTCAGGACTCCTAGAGCTTCTTAAGTTCAATCACATTTATGGTCAACTGAATTTCAACAAGGGTGCCAAGACAATTAAATGGAGAAAGAATCATTTTTTTCCAACAATTAGTGCTGGGAAAACTGGATATCCACATGCAAAATTTGACCTCTACCTCACATCATATGCCCCCTCCTCTGATCCCAGAAGGGGTAGGCCTCTCTGTGGTCAGAAGAGGAAGCCCCTGCATGGTGGTCACAGCCAAATGATCTCTGAGACTGGGCTGCCTAGGCCTACTTGCTCCTACTTCATTCTCTCCCATAGAGCTCTGCCTACCCACAGAGAGATTTTCATGGACAACCCTGAAGGAGCTCTTTGGAATCAGCCAATATGGTCCATGGAAGCAATCTGGCCAGGGTCTCCTTCCCCATCCACAGTGGTTGGGTTCCAGCAAACCTTTCCAGAGGGGCAGGGCCCTGTCCATTGATTAGGGCCTCCCTCTTGGGACCAGGGTTAATAAAGCTTGATGCTCACAGTATAAGGCTAAGTGGCTGCCTGAGTAAAGCCATCCTCTGTCCTGCTGAAGGAGCCCAGGCAACTGGGATGGGTAGGTGATCCTGCCTCAAGACACAGCTGATTACTCTAAGAATGTACACTTAACTCAAAAGAGTCAATTATGCAAAAGAGACACAGAGTAAGTGGTCCAGGTGATATTGGGCCCTGGAACTATGAAGTCTGGGAAAATAAGAGCATGCTAGGGCCAAGAATGAAGCTACAAATTGGGAGGTGGGGTGCAGAGAACAGATAGGCGAAGGAGCAGACCTCAGGGAGAAGCTAAGGCCAGGTCTGGAGGGAGAAAGGCCTGGAGGAAGAGGAGCCTGGGGCCTGCTTCCTACAGATGAGTTCTATGTCCCGCTATTCAAAGTGTGGTCCTAGACTAGCAGCATGCGCATTATCTGAGCACTTATTAAAAATGCAGACTCTCAGACTCCACCCTAGAACTGCTACATCAGAATCTGCAATCTAACAAGACTCCTGGTGACATGTGTACACAGCACAGGATGAGAGGTGCTACTCTGTGAGACCTTCACAATCTGTGCTAACAGATCCCTTCACTCAAGCCTCTTTGAGTGGGCTTCAGCTCCTCACAGCTATCAGCATCAATAAAGGTATCAGCTTAACTATAAACATAAAGAATGAACTCAGTCAGGAGGAGGGCTTTCTAATTACAACACAAAATCCAGAAGCCAAGAAAGAGAAGACTGATATACTTGATTTCATAAAATTCAACAAAGTAGCTACAAAAAAACATAAGTAAAGCCAAAAGACAAATGACAAACAGGGGGAGATATCTGCAACTCATATAATAAAGAGCTATTTTCCCCAATATATCAGAGTTCCTACAAATTAATAAGAAAAAGACCAACAACCAAGAGAAAAATGGGCAAAAAATATGAACAGGCAGTTTACAGAAAAGAAATTAAGATGGCCCTTAAACATATGAAAAGAAGCTCAACTTGACTGATAAGAGTAATGCAAATTAAGACTACACTGAAAGACCATTTTTTTACCTTTCAGATTGAAAAAAAACACAAAAAGTGCGATACTACATCTTGTGGGGTAGCTGTAGGAAACAAACATCCCATATATGCTCCTGGGGGGGCAGGGGGTGTGATGGGTCCAGCTCTAGGTAGGCAATTTGGCACCATCCATGAAAAATCCTTTTGGCCAAGAAATTCACTTCTACAAACAAGCCTCTCACATACATTGACTCCTGTGTGAATTCACATTTGTACAAGGTTAATTATTGCAGCAATGTCTGTCACAGTAAAGAAACAGAACCTCCTAAAAGTCCCTAAATATGAGATGTGCTAAATGAACTCTGATACACCCTGGCAGTGGAGTATTACTATGCAGAGTGAAAAATAACACAGCAGCACTGATGGGTAGATGTGGGATGATCTTCAGGGTATACTGTGAAGTGGAAAAAGCAAGATGCAGAACAACATGCAAGAAGAACTCTAGAAACAAGTGATGGTGGTTCCTTGTCAGAGGGGACTGGTGGGAGCTGGACTGACAGGGAACTGGGTATTAGTACTTTCATGCTTTTTAACGTTTAAACTGAATGAATCACCTATTGAAAGTGTAAATGAGTACCACAAAAATGTGTTTTAAAGGATGAATTCACTTGCCGCTGCCACTTGCTGTATAAGAACTGTTTCTGGGCACAGAAAAGCACACAGCATTACAGGCTATCTGTGTTCTAGTGTCAGGCTGGGCCTCAGCAGAGTGGAGAGCCTCTGCTCCAGCCCAACCTGCTCAGGAAGGAGAATACCAGGCCTATGTCTACTTTGCCTCAGCTGCATGTGGTCCTCTGGTCCCCTGCTACCTGTGCAATGTGGCTCCCGCTGGAGAGGTTCTCTCCAATAGGCAGTGGCCTCAGGGGATCCCCAGGACCTCTCTTGGGCTGTTAACCACACATCGGCTGGCTTAGCATTCACCAGCCATGTCCAGGCTTGACCATAGTGTGTGGGACTCCTGTTGGGTCCAGCCCAGTCCCAGGACCCTGGAGTTGGCAGAAGACTGCGTGACTCTGGATCTCCCTGGGCTGGCATATTCCTCCTCTGCCTCTCTAAAGTGGGAAGTATAATCCTGGGTGTTCTAGTAATGAGGTCCCTGAGGCCTTGCCTTCTGGAGACGTGAATCTCCCCAGTTACCTTCTGTTCTGTCTTGACTTTGGCGTTGTAGAAGGAGATAGAATCAGGGCCCTCGGAAAGCATCGTCTGCTGTAGCTGGCTGAACTTGTCCTGGTCATCTTCTCCCTAGAAGAGACCCAACTCAGCACAGTCCCTTCAGCCTGGCTTTGCCAGGATCCACCCTGACAGGGCCTGTGGTGGGCATCAGGGCTGCACCTTGCTGGGTCTGCAAACCCTCACACAGGGCATCTCACAACCCCTCAGCCCCATGTTTTCCAGTGTCATCAAAGATACCCTATATCTGCCACCTGAGCAGGATGAGCCACTCAAGAAAGGTGGCAGCAGCAAGTGATATTTCTGTGTCCTCATCCCTGGTAACTGAGAAAACATCTGAACTTGCCCCCCTGCCTGGGCCAGCTGGAGGAAAGGCTGGGAGAAGCCCATACACACACTTTGTGGCAAGAACATAGCACAACGGGCACTGCCCACTGCCCCTGTGTTCATCCACCATCCCCACCCCTGCCCTTGTACCACTCACCAGAGACACAATCCTGCTGACAGGCATCATGCCTGGCCTGATGCTGCAACCTGGCTTCACTGCCACCTGCAGGTCCTCAGGGACGAAGAAGGACTCATTGTACCAGATGTCAAATTCTGCACAGGGAGATAGCACTGTGAGTTGTGGAGGAGTCCCTGAGAAATCAGGTCAAGGCAATGTGTGCCTGTCTGTCTTATTCCTGTCACAGGCTTGCCCTCCGTTCCTGCTGCAGGATCTCACCCTTTCCCATCTCCGTGTCCTGCCCTCAGAGTCCTGGAAACACACACATCTAAAGCCCCTGCCCAGCCCCTGCCTCTGCCAGAGAGAAGTTCTGAAACTGCTTCTAGAACCCAGGCAGTGGCCCTGACCTGTGCCTCCTGGAACCTCAGGTGGCCGGCCAACCTTCCCAAATGGCGCACCTGTAAGTAGGCGGTGGCGACACTGATCCACCAGGTGCTGGCAGTACTGGATCTCAGCCCTGAGGTCGCGCAAGTCCTGATACTCTGTACGGTACTGCTTCTTGAGGTCTTTGAGCTTTAGGATCAGCAGAAATTCCTCCTCATCGATGATCATCAGCCCCTTGTTCTCATACTCGCCTGCAGGGGGATGAGGAGGTCAGGGAATGAGGTGCCCACCTGGGGAGCGGGGAGGAAGGCATTCGGAAAGAGAGGACAGAGCTGGCAAAGCATGAGGAGGCCAGGCTACCAGGACATGTCTCATGGGGAGAGGAAGCTCAGATCAGAGGATCACACTGGCATTTTTAGAACAAACAGGAGGGGTGGGCAGAGGAAAGGGTAGAAATGGCCCACGTTCCATGCTTCTTTTCATCTTAAACATCATTAGACAAAGATATCCAATAAACACCTTTATTATACATGGCTGTTTACTTTTTGTAAATTACATACATGGACTGCCACCTCTGGCTAGTACCTCAAGGCACCTGGGTAAGATTCCTTATTTATATCAATAGATGTAAACCCAGCTGTCTTCTTGATGATTTCAGTGTTCACCAGCTACCTTCCTGTTAGAGACTATTAGATGTGTTTATCATGTTGGGTGGTTGTCAGAGAGCTCCAGGAGAAGAGGGGTCAATGGTACTACTAGTCATCTCCTCCACTCATGATCTCTCTGCATAGACCTTTTAAGGTCTGTCAGTTTGATGAGGGTTGTTGGGTTAAGACAAAATAGCATGGTCTGTAGAACCACTCACCTGGCTCTTCACTGCCCACAGCACCTTGAAAGTTCAGCAAAGTTATCATGTCAACCCCCTCCAGAGTATGGGGCTTCCATCCCCAGAAACCCTGGAGGGTGAATCCTCTGTGTGACTGAAGTGTATGGCCGGGGTGCCAAGGCAATCCCAGGTACTGGAGGAAAGCATTAGCACTTCTGCTGATGTTTACAGGGGAAAAGTAAGGCATATTGTGTCACTGATACCATAAATGGAGAGGCAAGGGTTCCAATTCAAGGTGTCTGATATGAGGGGGTCCAGAGTCGCCCTCACCAGATCCCTCAGTGCAGAGCAACCTGGTTTGTGTACTGTGGGCCATCTCTGATGTGGTCAATTTGATAAACACAGATCCTTTACAGAGTTGAGTCTTTTCAGTACTCTGCTGAGATGGGGAGTGACACCATCTTTTGTACTATTCAGAGGTTCTCTATCTTCAAAGAAAAAACTTAATGAGAGTTGAACTTAAGATGACTTTTTCATTTTTCTTTCATGAAAGACTTATTAATGTTTTAAATTCACTGACTGCTCTAGGCAGATAAGTGGCTACCAGTCAAGGTGCCAGCAGATATTTAAAAAAATGAATTTACTTGATCTGTTCCCTCAAGATGAAGGTATTTTATTCGATGTTTTAACAACCAACTGGAAAATAAATGCTTTGTGGGGAAAAGAGCAAAATAATTTTTTGATATTGAAAAAATTTAAAAATATTTAAAATATTGTTTATCTCTTCTTGATCTCATCTTTTAAAAATCCATTTTCATGTATAGTGAGGGGCAAATGATATGTCAGCATAGCATGCTTATGTGTTATTTAATATATATAAATATGTATTAAACAGTTGCATATTCCAAGAAGGTACGAGCAGAAGGGACAAAGAAGTGCTTCTTGTTGGTCCTGCAAGGCCTTCATTCTGGAAGCTCTGGGTCGGGGGCATGTCTGGAGCCACCATCACCTGCCTTACCCTGCTTCTCAAACCCATGGAGGGCTTTGCCCTGTGGAATTGTCTGTTTGGTCTGTAGGGTACAAGCAGAATGGCTCCAAGCATTTGGAAATACAGTTTACTCTCTGAAAAATGAATGAGTAAAATGCAACCCCTGTGAGTGAGAATATCCCTCTGACCAGCAGAAAACCAACTGCCATCTGGAGATCCCAGGTGATCAATGAGATCATTCATGAAAGCCAGCCCAGAATAGGGTTGTGATTTACAAGGGAAAGCCCAGTAACTGGTGGTATGCCCTGTCCCCTTCTATGAACAAGGGGGTGACTTCTGAACCAGCAGCCTCACTGTTAGGATGGTCAATCATTAAAATGCAGGTTCCAGACCCTGCTCCAGATTGTTGAGTCAGAACCACTGGTTGGAGCCTAGGAATCTGCACCTGACCAGCCCTCCCAGATGAGTCCTTTGCTCACTTAAGCTTGAGGGTTCTTGGTGCACAGTGCAGTGTGGGCAGTGTCTGCCACTGGGACAGGGCACTAGGTCAGGGTAACCGGGTGAGCACCCTCTCCATGCAGGAGTCTCTGCTCTTTGAGCCTGAGGGTCACCCCGCAACTACCTTAGGGGATGAGACTTTGCCAGGCCAGCATGGGTGCTGGGGGTTTGGCATGAGGAATGGTCTTAATGAAGTTAATCCCTTGGCCCCTAGTATCCATATTCTCATTTCCCTCCTCAGTTTCTTATGTCTTGACCAGCATTCCCACCCCAAGCAGACTACCATAGACATTGAGGAGACCACACCAGAACCCATGGACCTTGTGGGGGTCGTCAGCCACGCATCTTCCTGAGGAAGCCCCTACAAGACCAATGACCTGTTTCTCCATGAGCAGCAGCACATAGCAGATGAAAGGTCCAGCACCTGGGTCTGAGATAATGCAATAATGCAGGACCCACAGGCAGAGGCTAGCTGACACAGAAGGACTCTGTGACTCCCCAGGGCTCACTAGAGCCAAGTTATGACGCAGGGATGAAGGCTGCACCCTAACATCTCCTGCTAGCCCCCTTTCTACTCAGTCCTCCAGCGCCCAAGGCTGCCCCATTTGGAATAGGATGACTCAGATCCCATAATCCCTAAGCTATCTTCCCATCATGTTTACCTTGCTTCTCCCGTAGTGACTTCTGGAAATTTAGCGCCTCCTTGGTCACGTCGATCTCCCGCTTGATGGCATTGATGCGCTGTGTGGTCTCACTGGCCCTTTTCCTCCTCTCATTCAAGATGGATTTGTTTTCTTTGAAGATGCGGTTGATCTCACTACCTCGCTCGTTCTTAAAATCCTCAAAGGCCACAGGCTTGGAGGGCGGGGTGCTGGGCCTGAAGACGGAGGGAGAGGAGGAGGAAGAAATGAGGCAGTTGTCTTTGAGCAACCAGGCACTTCACCTTTCTTCCCTGGGGCTTCTGTGAACAGGAGGTCAGAATTCCTGGGCACCACCTACCCCAGACGGGAGCTAAACTGTGTGGGAATCATTCTCTCATCTCTGTTTTACTCAGCACTCAAAGGCATGTGACTATTGCAGAAAATGAGGAAAGCAAGGAAAAGTAGAAAAAAACAAAACAAAAACACGCACACGCAAAAACAGAAAACAAAAAGAAACCACTCACTGCCTATTGGCAACCACACTTTGATGTATCTCCTTCAGGGATCTCTTTGATAAAATTTTTACATGTTTGGGGTCATGCAGTATATATAATTTTATATCTTACTTTTTTCACAGAAGCATTCTTTCATGCTATTAAAAACTCTTTGAGGAGTCTGGTTAATGAGATGTCAGATGAAGTGTTGTGCAGGGAAAGTAGATTGTCTGCAACTTACTTTGAAATCCATTAGGTAAAAAAGATGGGTGGAGGGTGAAGAGAAAGATAGATACATGATGAAATACACATAGTAATGTTAATTGTAGAATCAAGAGAGTTTTCACTATACAATTCTTTCAGTTTCTCTGAATGTTTGGAAATGTTCACAGGCTGGGGAAAAATTCTTCATGTGCATCTTTGTACTTTTCAAGGGCAGAGATAATAATTCACTTAGTGTCCTTTTCTTAATGTTGGCTACTGAAGGTGTAACCAAAAAAAATTTTTTTTTCTTTGTAAATTAGTAACACAATGAACATCTTTTTTGTATAAATCTTTGTCCACATCTCTAGTATTTCCTCAGGCTAGACCCCTAAAAACTTAATTTCTGACTCACCAGGAATAGGAATTAGGTGGCTGGAGGAAGGGGTCTCATACCTTGAGAATTTTGTATATTTTGAATATATTACTTATCCAAAAACATGCAAATTTAACTATTTAAATAATTGCTATTTTGAGGGTCTAATGATTCTGTGTATAATTACGTATCTTGGATGACTCGTGGTCAAACCATTATGCATGTGTATAAGCCACTGTGTTTCTTCTTTTTGGACTGTGCTCCTAGTCTTTGCCCATTACCCCCTATTTTATTTCTCTTCTATCTGCAGGTGCTCTTCCCTTGTTGAAGATCACATTCTGGTTTTGTATGATCTAGGGCAGGAGCTACCATTAGATGGTCACCTGAGTGGGCGTAATTCCTCCTTTGGGGAGTCTGAAGTATTGGAGGTCTCTCGGTCCCGCAGAAGCATGTCTTTGACATCCCCATCCTTGGAGGATGGGGTCAGCTGGGACTTGGAGGTGGAAACTTCCAACTCCTTGCTCACAGGGCTGCTTGCACCTTCCTTTCTTGCTGAGGAGCTGGAAGGAGAAGGCAGAGAGACCCCAGGCTCAGTCATGCAGTGAGGGGTCTCCAGCGCTGAAGGGAGTGACCTCACTCAGCACTCAAACACCAGAAGCCCCATCCCACTCAGGTCCTCTTAACCTAGGCCAAAAGGTAAAGAGTACAACCCTAAGTCATGCAGATGGGGAGGAAGAGAGCATCTCTCCCTTTTGTCAGAACAAGGAGCCTCCCTCCAGCAGTCTGGGCAGTAGACAACTGGGAAGAATGGGAAGTCTCCAGGTTTGAATGCATGACGACCTTTAGGGTGGGCCACAGGCTCTAAGGAGCATCATAGCTGCTGAGGTACTAGTCACACAGGCATCCCTGGGAAGAAGTGGCAGAGCCCCCACCCAGGGTGCATCTATCTGCGGACCAACAGTAAAGCAGGGCACATCTGCCCTGCTGCTCTGACAAGTCCATGACCTGCTTCTCCCCACCTCCATCAATGCCTACACCAGTTCCAGGAAAGTAGCCATCCTCCCTCTCCAAGTGATGGCTCCCGAGATCCTCCCTCCCAGAGAGGCACATGTAGGCAGGACTGTACTGCAGGAAAGATGTCCACAGCTCTTCCCACTGTTTCTTTCTCTTTTCTTCTTGCAACAAGTGTGGCTTAGGGGTCCAAGCCTCAATCCATCTATTACTGCACTGATTACCCAATGGCAGAACAGAGGGGGTGGGGCTGTGACTGCCCTTCCTGAAGAGGCAGTAGGAAGCCAAGGCATCCTGATACCTGACCCCAGTCCTGCATGTGACAGTTTTCTTCTACAATCAGCTTTGGCCCATGACATTTTACAAGTGATAATAATGGTAACAACATATTTCTATTGAGTTCTTCCAAGTACAGGGACTGCGTTTACTCACTTATCCTCACAACCACGCCAGTGACTTTGATGCTATTATTATTATTATTATTATTATTATTATTATTATTATTATTATTATTATTATTATTATTCCCATTTTAGGGATGAGGAAACAGAGGCAGAGAGGCTCTCCTACCTCACACAAGGTGACCCCTTGGGTGAAAGAAGTACAGCACAAAGACAGGAGCCCAGGCATTACCTCCGGAGCTGGTGCTCTTGTCCACCACGACATTCCAGGGAGGCTGGCTTATTAAGGGAACCTTGACCCTCTTCCCACCCTGCACCCACAAACAAGTCTTGCCTGAAAGGGGAATTGGGAGTTTTTAGGTGACAGGGGTGCCAATCAGGTGGGTCACAGAAGGAATTTGGTGGTGCGGGGTGGGTTTCCACATGCAGTACCAGAGGGCGAGTGCTGGCCCAGCTTCTCACTTCCGCTCTACCACTCCTCAGCAGTGTGACCTTGGAATGACTTCCCCTCTCTCAGCCCTGGTTTCCTCATCAGTAAAATGGAAACATGAACTCCCACCTCATGGAACTACTGTGAGGATGACAGGTGATCAGCCCCAGCCCTGGCTCCACAAATGCTGCTAGTACTGGCAGGAGTGACATCCATTGTGAGCAACCAGTAACTTTAAGATACCAGGAGGAAGGGAGGGACAGCTTTTGTCCTCCCCTTTACCAGCCAGGGAGGGCCAGGTGCTGAACAGCCAAAACAGCAGGAAGGTCACTCACCTGAACTGCTCTTTGATTGTCTTCTTGGACTTGGATTTCTTCCCATGTTTAATAGAGAAAGGGGCAACTCCGAGTCCAAAACCTTGCCCATCAGGCTCGCCGACTAGGTGACCGTCAACGTCCATGAGCCCTGCCTGAATAGAGGCTGGTTGCAGGTCTGTGGGTTAGGTTAAGGGTGCAGGTCCCTGGGGATCCAAAGGCTTAGATGGGCATGTTCGTCACACACTGTGATATGGTTCCTGCTGATGCCAGCTGCAGTCTGTCCCCAGAAGAGCTGTCTCTGACCCCCTTCCCAATTGTCCACTTTCTACATCAACTTCTCTCATGATCTGGTGTCTCATTCCATACACTGAGGCTCTTGAGGCCTGTTTCCAACCTACTCTGGGAACTGGTCTTGTCTCCAACTTATGGAGATCATTTTGAATTCATATGTGGTTTACTATTGCTTGAGTCCCCCATGCCCCTGGTGTTGCATCCCACATCTGCTCTAATGTAGGATCTGACTGCCTCTGGAAAGGTCTGGGGATGGAAAAATTTGTCCTCCTCCTGTCTCCTCATGTTGGCAGGAGGTAACTGTGCATACCTTCTGGACAGCAGAGATGGTTGCAAAGTCATTCTTGTCTATAAGGGTGTACTTTCTGCGCAAAGAGGATTCCACTTCCTGTTCCTGTTGGCTTGGGAGAGAGAGCAAAAGAACCCCTTACACCTGGGGCCATACTGAACCCACAGGGGCAAGAACCAAGTACTGGAGTTAGAAGTCCAGTGGCCCCTTGTGATGGAGCCACACCCCCCATCATGAACCAGACCAGACCAAATAAGCTCATTCTCAGCTCCCCACTCCCCAATGCACATACCGTCCAGTCCCCAGACCTGCTGTGGCCACCCTATGTGCCAGGCACAGTTGCTCTAAGACCTTTAATAAGGACTGTAAGCCTGCCTTGGGACCACGCTTTCCCACCCATCTGTCTCTAAAAGCCCCCTCAGAACCACATGCCAGCTATCACGTGATACCACCCAGTATGGGCCAGTGGGCTACAGGTACATCTGTACTCAAATAAACCACAAATGCTTCCTGAGGTGGGGAGGGAGTGCAGGAAGTATTCAAAATACACTTCTCCAGCCACGCTCAGGACTGGCACTTCATAAAGACCTCCTGTCCAATTAACAACCAGGGACAGGGACAGCCTTCTCTCTGAGGAGCCGTGGAACAGAGGGCTGTCCTTCTTACTTCCCCCAGGGGAAGGGAAGGGCAGGAGGATCTGAGAGCTCAGGGGCAGAGACTGTCTGTGACACCAGGGGCCTGCATGTACCCAGAGGACTCAGATGTGACTCCTCACACACCAGAGAGAAGGTGGTGTACTTGGAGGCTAGTGCCCAGACCACAGGGAATAAAAATGGCAGCCTGATGTAAGAGTAGAGTGGATGGGGTAGGTCCCTTACCTCAGAACCACCCGGAACTGGTTGAACACCTCCTGGATTTGTCTGAGGTTGATAATCTGGTAGTAAAGAAAGCAAGGCAGAGGTTAGACCAAGGGCACCATGGGACCGAGGCTGTGTCTGTGTTAGTAGAGAAACCAGGACTTTTTGGCTAACCCTTGGACCACCTGTCTTGAGAATGTGACATCTGAAAACAGCCCCTCAGCAAAGTGGCAATCAAGCCATCTTCAGGAACAGAGAAACACCCGATTAATAGTTTTAAAACTATTTACTGAGGCTATAAAAATCACCTTTTCTGAGTGAACATCTCTCTATACATTTAAAATGATTCTAGTTCTTGAAAATGCTAAGAAAAATTTTAAATAAAATTTATTGTCCTCCTGCTTCCAAAAGGTGCCATTATAAATCTTTCTGTGTGGGCACAGACACATACACACGTGTGGCTGGAGGAAGGCCATCAGCCTCCCTCTCGGCCCCGTAGCCTGCCAGTATTACCACAATGCCTCTGTCAGCCGGGGCTGCCCTTGCTAGGAAGACCAGAAGAGGCTGCTTCTCAGTTGTCCCAGGCCTGCCTTTTGCAGTGGCTCACAGTAACAGGCCAGGCCAGGGTCTGCCCATGAGCTCCCTGATGAGGGACTTGCTGGCCTGTGCCATAAAAACAGAATGCATCTTTCCAACTTCCCTGTGTGCTGTCTCCTCCTTGGCCTACTCCAGCATGGGCTCTGGGTCGGGGAGGGGGACAATCTGCCTTGTAGACAACCAGCATGACCATCATCCTTTACTGCCTTCACTCTGCCTGGCACAGCCAAGCACCTGAAATGCTACACCTCAGTTCATCCCCATTCGAAACTTTCCCTCCCCACTGCACAGGTCAGGCCACCAGAGTACACGAGGTTGAGCATTTTCCTGAGGTCACTCGGCAAGGAGACAGCTGAACTGGGATTTGAGCCAGGGTAGCCTGGCTCGAGGGTCTGTGCTTGTGCCCCGAGTGATGGACCCCTCTGGTGTGTTCAAAGTTGTTTAAGGCCATTGGCCACTCTGTAGGGCACCCCTAGCCCTGCAACCCCAAAATATGAATGCTGAGGCCTCAGTGGGCTGAAGAGCCCCTGAGGCCAGGAGTCCAGCACCACCTACCCTGCACCCCCTGTACCCACTCAATGTGAGGTTCTGAGGTTAGCAGGACATGCATCAGGGTGTGGCTGGGAGAAGGAGGCCCAGGCCAGCTGGGCATGGTGGTCCCGGGGAGGGGACCCTTACGTCAATCTCGTCCAGCGTCCCCTCCAGGTACCTCCGCACCTGGGAGTTGATCTCAGCAATCTGAATTTCATCCATGGGGTCATAGTTCACAAGAGTGCGATTGGCCTTGGAGGAGAATAATGAACATGTTAAGCTCCAAGCACTGGAGCCCAAGCAGGGAAGGCAGGGACCATCCTGAGAACCAAAGTAAGGAGATTGGGCACAGACCTTGGCCACCAAAGCTGGTGCCATTCCCTTCATCACCAGGTCCTGGTGGGGCCTGAACCACCAGCCAGGTACTCACTCGGGTCTGCAAGGGACAACCAAGTGGGGCAGGGAAGGAAAGGCTTCCCAACACAGGGCTTGCTACTCTAAGCAAGTGGGTTCTACTGGTTGAGTCTCAGCAGACTCTGTAGGATGAGGGTCACAGGAAGGAGGGGCTGCCTCTGCCTCGCGGCTCCTCTGGACAGTAAGCATCAGCTCAGACAGCCTATTGGAGGACTTCCGCCCCCATCCACTATCTTCATGGCTCCCTGCTGCTGCCCTTCCCCCACCAACTAGCCTGCTCTACCTCCCCTGACCTTCACCCATCATACTGTCTGTCCTTGTACCCCTACCTGCCAGGCCTCTGACCACTGCCCCTCACCCCCCTGCCCATCGCCTGGCTCTGCTTCCTGACTATCTTCCTGTTCTTCCAGTACCCCTGCCCTCCAGACATCCCTGGCCCCCAAGTCTCTCTTCCCCACCCCCAATCTCTATTGCCTCAGTCTCCCTGTCTACTCAGCCCCTCTACCCATCTGGCCCCCTGTCCACCAAGTCCCTCTGCCTGCCCACCCCACTGCCAATCCAGCATCCATGCCTTGATGCCTTGCCCCCTCCCTACCTAGTCCTTCTGACCAACTGGTACCCTGACTACAGTTCCTCTAGCATTCCAGCCACCGCCCTCCACCATAACCTTTAGCCACTTACCAGGCTGTCATGGATGGCTAGCTCCTGCTTGAGCAATGCCAGCTCCTTCTCCAGGTTCTTGACCATTCGCTGCCAGGGAAACATATTAGGGTGGGGGGAACAGGGAGGATGGTCAGAGAGGCCACCTTGCCTCTCCCATATCACGTCTACAATTCCCCACACTGTGCTGGGACATCCTGGCCCTTCCTGGTAATCTATGGAGTGTGATCTCAGCATTTAAACAATTCCCTCCCCACAGGTGACTTTTCCCCAACTGGGTGAGTTAGAGACTGAAGGGGTGGTCTCAGAAGTCCCCTGACCTCTGGCTTTTACCACACAGGAGACTGAGAACAGAGTGAGCACAGGCAGCCATGGGGCCACCTCAAATCCCAGCTCCCAGGAGCTACAAGATATTTATTTTCTGTCCACCAGGGTAATGGCCCTCTCAGTGCAGCCCATGCATCCAGGATGCTTTCCACCCTTATCCTTCCCAATCACTGCACAACTATCACCGTTTCTTACTGATAATCAGGTATGCCAATCCAATCTATTGCTGCTACAAACAGTGCTGCAAAACATCTTCGTACTTCTACCTTTGTGTCCTTATAGGTGCTCTACGAGGCTCTGTGTGGTCTGCCCCCTTACTCCTTTCCTACCTTCTCCTCCTGCTCACTCTACCCCCACCAGATTGGCACACTCCTGCCTCTGCATTCCCTGTTCCCTTTGCCTGAGACACTTGTCTCCCAGGTATTTCCATGGCTTACTCCCTCACCTCCTTCAAGTCCTTGTTCAAAAGCTTCTAAATTAGGCGCACCTCAGTCATCCCATGTCATACTGCAACCCCCTTACCACCCCCACGCCACTCTTTTTTTAAGTCTTGCTCTAATTTTTTTTCATAGCATACATCACCAACATACCCTAGAGCAGTTCTGTCTAAAAACTTGCTAGAATGATGGAAATGTTCTATATTTGTGCCACAAGCCACATAAAGCTATTGAACACTTAAAATGTGACTAGTATAAATAAAGAAGTGAGTTTGTAATTTTATTAACGTTAACTGATTTCAGTAGCCACATATGAGTAGCAACTACTGTATTGGACAGTGAAGCTCTAGAATTTATCTGTCTTGGTTTTAAGAAAAGTTATATATATATTTAAGGGGTATGACATGATGTTTTGATATACATGTATACAGTGAAATGATTATTGCAGTCAAGCTAATTAACATATCATCTCCTCATCTAGTTACCATTGTGTGTGTGGTAAGAGCATCTGAGATCTACTTTCTTAGCAAATTTTCAGCATAACGTACAGTGTTATTAACTATAGTCACCATGCTATACATGAGATCCCTCAAACTTACTCATCTTATAACTAAAAATTATACTCTTTGACTAACATCTCCCCATTTCTCAGCCTGCCCTGCTCCTGGTAACCACTGCTCTACTCTGTTTTTATGAATTTGAATTCTTTAGGTTCCAGACACAAGTGAGAGGTTATGCAGTATTTTTTCTTTGTGTCTGCCTTATTTCACTTAGCACAATGTCCTCTAGGTTCATCCATGTTGTCACAAATGGCAGGATCTAGAATTGACCTATTTCTTATGTTTATTATCTCTCCCTCTCCCACTCTCAGCAGACTGTCAGCTCTTCAAGGACAGAGGTTTGTATTTCTGTTGGTACACTCATGTATCCCAAGTACTTAAAAAAATGCCTGGCACATAGTAAGCACTCTGTAAATTTTAGCTGAATGAATAAATGACACATTTCTAGAAGCAGAATTGCTAAGTCATTTTGCAGTTGATAGATACTGCCCTGGTGTCTTTCATATAAGAAGCACAAGGGACTTCATGCTGAGAACCTTCACTGTGAACAAAATGGCTTCTTTTAGTTGTCAAAAAAGGTCAGTTGAGGGGGCCCCGACAGCTAGTTCTCAGGCCTGGTGACCAAAGCCATGACCAGTCTGTAGCAAGGGGTCTTGGTATCCTGGTGGCTCAGGGGCAAATCAGGGCACAAAGCCTGACTCAAGACACACAACTGGGGTCCAGATTCTCTGGACAGCCTCAAAATGGTCCTTCAGGTGGACTTCCTAGAGGTGAGCAGGAGAGGCTTGGTGGCCAGCCCCATCTCCATCCCCTCCTCCCAGCTGAGGGATCTCAGCTCTAGAAAATGCACCATGCCCCAGCTAGGAAAAGTCTGGCTGTGCTGCTGGGGGCCTCCTGCTGGATGACTCTGTCCAATGTGGCATGAGGAGCCAGGCTTAGACCTCTGGGCCAATCAGGTGATGTGTGGAAATGGGCGATCTGCTCCCATGGGTCACCAGCCTCCATGTTGCACCCTGAGAGCATGAAGACCACTCCTCCTACTGCCTGGTAGGCTTTGTGGCCTGAGGGGAGGGGATGGAGATGAGTAAGGGCTGGCCACCAAACCATGGGGTTAGATCCACAGAGCCCCAGGGACTGTTACTTTCCTTCAGGATTTAGAATCTGGAAAGTTTAGGAGTTTGTCATGGGTTTAGGCCACACATTTACTCCTCTCCAGTAACTACTCCATAAGCTTCTTAAAGGAAACCCAAGTTATTGGTGTGTTTTTACTTTACTAGATGTTGCCAAAATACTCTCCAGAGTGGCTGTTGATTACACTTTGACCAGGAATAAATAAGCATTCCTGTTTCTGCACATACCCACCACTGTTTTGCATTGTCAGAAAATTTCTAATTTTTGCTAGTCTGAGGGTGGAATTCCACTAAGGTTTTAATTTGCATTTCCCTAGTTAATGGTGATGCTCAGCATTCCCTCTGATTGGTCAGCTCTGTTTGCTGGGAGGGATCTCTCCGACTGGGAGGAAAGAGGTTCCGTAGTGACCCAACTAGATGAGTCTGAGAGATGGTCCACACTGATTTAGCTCAGAAACAGTTAGTTCTATACAGAAACTGAAAGTACTCAGAGGCCTTGAAGCCCCATATGAAAACTGAGTGGGAGCTCTTTCACCTTTGTGGCAGCCTCCAAGGGGGTCTTCAGGGTCTCCGAACACTGGCCCATCCCATAGTGGAAAGGGAGTGAGCCAGGACTGCACGGGTATCTTTGGTTGAGGCAAGAAGGGAAGCCAGGCTCGTGTGATCCAGGCACCAAACCCATACACCTCCCCCACAGTGAGATGACTGCACATAAGCCTCTTCATACCTCAGCGTCATACTTTTCATTGATGGCAGGTTCAGTAGTGACCAGCTTCATCCTGCTGGCGAACCGCAGTGAAGACAGCTGAAAAACAGATCAGACCTGTGTTCTTGGCCAGTTACTGATTTGTAAAACAGGTAAAAGGAGCCCGCTAGGAAAGACAAATCCCTGCACAGAGGCATGCTCCCCAGTGGACTGAGGGGTCCCTTGAGTCCATGGAATGACGTCTGGGGGGTCCTGCCTGAGTCCCTCTCAGGGCACAGGCAGTCAGGTGTAATTATGGCTGGGAGCCCAGCAGGCAACCACAGAAGCAGGCACTTGGGAAATGGCCCCATTGCACTAATGTCCCATGAGGAGTGGAGGGCTGCTCCCTGGCAGCAAGGAGCAGCCAGTGGTGGCAAGAGGCAGGCATCACACCATGCTGGGCTGACTCCGTCATACACACATGCAGTGAGTGTCACTGCATAAAGCAACACAAACCATGACAAACAGTTTGAAGGTTTTCAAACATTTGTAGAAGAGAACCATGAGCTTCCACACCCCTGGTATGCCTTTATCCCAAACCCCTGAAACCTCTCCAGCAGCATCTTGGGGCTCTGTAGGCTCAGTCCCGAGCAGGATCCCCAGTGGCACTGGGACAAGCCTCTGGGGACAGCAAGAACTAGGAGAGTTGCTTCCTGTGTGGTGACATCTCAGGGGATTAGGGGATACAGGGTCTTCAATGGTCTTGGAGAACATATTTCTTAAGCAGGCACCTAGGAGGCCCAATATTCACATGAGTTCAGTGAACTCTTGGGGTTCACTTGTGCTTTGTTGTACTGAGACCAGTAGGGTCCTGAAGCCTTCCTCTGGGGATGCTGTCTGCATGTCAGCTGAGCTACCCTCCTCCCTGGCCTCTCAAGTCCCAGGGTGTGTGGCAGAACTTCCCCTGGAAGCCAGGATGGTCCCTAATGCACAAACCTGGGTGGCGATGCAGGAGCATTTTGTTCTGCAGTGTCCCTAGAAATGACCTGTTTCACCTAAGTGGATTCTCCAGATGACTAAAGTTTGCCCTGAATGCCCACATTTGAGCAAAATGTCTAGGGAGAGCTTTCAAACCTATCTTACTTATATGTAGGGTAGGGAGGAGAGGCGGGGAGCCCCAGACTGAGTGCCCAGCTGTGTGGACTCACCTGTGTCACTGCCTCAACCAGAATTCCTGCCTCTGGTTCTCGTAAGCTTCTTCCCTCCCCAGATCACCTGTGCCCTGATGCTGGGTTAACCTCTCTGAGTCACAATGCTGGCCACAGTCCTAACCCACTCAAACCCTGTAACAACCCTAGCCACCTGCAAGAGAACAGCCAAGGCCTCAGCCTGGCCACCAGGGCACATCCAGCCCCTCTACCTTCTTCTTCTTCTTCCTCCCCTTCCTGAGCTCCCCACTGCAGTGGCCAGATGTTCATGGCACGGGCCACATCTTCAGGCCCACAGTTTCCTCTGCCAGGAACATCTCTGCTTTCCCTACCTCCGAGCCAGCTCAGTTCCCAAGCTTCAAGAAAAATGCCCCCTCCCCTGGAGGACTCCTCCATCTGGGCCTCTCTAACTACTTAGGGCCAAGGTTGGGGACTCCAAGGCCTAAGGCCACATATGCCTCATCTCTACTGAGCTGCTCCCCCAACTGCTTTGCACATGGCAGGTGTTCGACCCCTTTCTGCTCACACCAGCCTTATAACCCCAGTCTGGAATCCTGAGTTATTTCCAAGATTTTTAAACATGTGATTACGAAGAATGGGGAATCAGCTATCCTCCTTGATTCCAGTTCCCAGGAGCAGCACCCCCGAAAGCATGGTCCTTCCCCCATAAAGCTGGCTCTCAGCCTTGTCTCCTCACACTAGCCCCCAAACTGAGCTTGCCTCCTGCCTTGCCTCTTTCCTCAACATAGCTTCTGCCCCTTGGTACTTGCATCCTGGCTGGGGCCACCTCAGCAATTTTGGCTCAGCCACCTCCCCTGGGTCCCTCCACCCTTAACAATGTCTATGGCTGCTGTGCCAGCTTACCCAGCCCTCACACTCATGAGGAAGGATTCTAACCCTGCTGAATTGGCTGTCTTTACGTACCGTCTCTTCTAACTGGGCGGCTTCTCCATAGATGTTTGTCACGAGGACCAAATTGCAATTTCCCCCTGCAGAAAACAGGACACAGAAGGGCCATGAACCATGTGGACTTTCTGCCAAGAGATTTCTTTGAGGCTAGTGGGGTCTATTACGATCTGAATGTTTGTGTCCCCTCAAAATTCATATGTTGAAGTCCTAATACCCAATGTGATGGTATTTGGAGGTGCGGCCTTCAGGAAGTGATTAAGTTTAGATGAGGTCATAAGGGTGGAGCCCCATGATGGGACTAGTGCCTTATGAGAAGAGCTCTGTGTCTCTTTTCTGGTCTCTCTTTTCTTTCTTTCTCTCTCTCTCTCTCTCTCTCTCTCTCTGCCATGTGAAGACACAGTGAGAAAGCAGCCACCTAGAGACCAGGAAGAGAGTTCTCACCAGGAACCATTCCCACCGGACCTTGATCTGGGACTTTCAGCCTCCAGACCTGTAAGAAATAGACGTCTGATGTTTAAGTCACAACAGACGTCTGTTGTTTAAGTCCATGGTATTTTGTTATAGCAGCCTGAGTTGACTGAAACAGGGTCAGAGAGGACATGTGCAAGCTTGCACATGGCTGGGAGGCAAGTGGAGGAGGGAGAGAAGAGGGAGAGGCTGCCGTCTGTACCTAAAAGGAGAGCCAGGGGAACGGCAGAGGAGAAATGGCCTGGGGCAGGGCAGAGGGCTGTGGGCCAGGGCTTTGCTCAGAGGGGCACTCAGTTAATAATCACATACCAACTATGTGTCATCAGGCCCAACACGAAAGCCTTGGAACCCAAGGATGACAGGACACAGCCCCAGCTCCTCAATCGGAGGCTGTAGGGAAGGGAAGACATCATGGGAGAGGCCCTCTACCTGGGTCTTCAAAACAATGAAGGATTCTGCCAGCTGGTTCAGGGATGAGGGGAGATGATAAGGTATTCCCAGTAGAAGCAAAAGCTTAAGCAAAGATTCTGAGGAGTGAACAGAATGGCATGCTGTGGGTGACATCAGAGGGCACTATGCTTGATTCTGCCTTTTCACGTGTGTCTAAGGTCACTGTGAAAGGCTGCAGGTAAGTCCACGCCACCAGGAGGGAGCAATTCCATTATCACCAGTAGCAGATGTGGCAGACCAGTCCCTCCTCCCTGGGCACCAACCACATCCTCACCTAACGAGTCCTTCAGGGCGTGGGTGAGCTTGCACTGCCGGAAGGGGATGTGGTCTCGCTTCTGGTCCCCAAGGGCAATGATGGCCTGCTCCAGGAATGACAGCGACTTGTTGATGTAGGTGGCTTCCTTCAGGACTCGGCCCTCGGACTACAAACCAAAGGTCAGTTCCTCTTCAGACCAAGTGGGGAGGCTGCCCCACAAAGAACACTGCAGGTCTGTGGGTAGGCCAGAGCCTCCTTCCCAAAACTAGGGTCTTCTCTCACTGTCATAAGATTGTATTCAACCTTCGGCTAATACAAACCCTCACAGGAACATTCATGCAAATACTCATGTGAATGCTCATGCAAATATTAATACTTAAGTGAATATTCATATGGATACTCACTTAAGAGTCACACTAAATGAATGCACATGGGTATATTTGCGTAGACACTTGAGCAAATAATCCTGGGAACATACAAACATTCATACAATACATAAACGCATTCATATGAATACACATAGGAATGCTCATCTGAATGCTCTTGTGAATGCTTATGCTAATACACTCATCTGAATATTTATGTAAGATGAAATACTTATGCAAATATTCATCATGTGAACACTCACACTCACACAGAAAAATGCTAACATGAGCATGGAGCATTTACTGAGCTCTGCCTGAGTGCTAGGTCCTTGCTAAGAATTTAGGAGCCATCGTCTTATTCAATGTTCACAAAAATCCTGTCAGGTAGGAACTGCCTCTCTGATGCAGCTGTTTCACTACTCCTAGTTCTGTCCCTCCAGCTCCACCGCGCCTAGCTCAGGACTGTGCTCACGAATGCTCAGTGAGTGATAGCCCACATGCACAGGCACTAAGTTGGAAACCAGGCCATGGCTTGTCTTGTTAAGGAAGAACTTCCTCCTCCCCACTTACCCCAGACTTCCCCAGCCTTTCCGAGCCTGCTAGATCCACCAAGTTGATTTTGGAAGTGATGTACTTTTCATTTGATAAGGTCCGCGAATGGGCCTATGAAACACCCAAACAGAGGTTAGACTGTCACAGTGAGCAGGTCACAAGGGGATCGACTGCCGCTCCCGGGCTATTCAAAGAGCCTGCACTTACCTCCATGTAGATGGTGAAAATGCAGTGTGACCTAGATGAGCTCTTGTTCATCGTGTGGGAAGCTATAATCCTGTTGGTCTCTCCCTGAAGAAAAGGGAAAACACAGACGTTTTGAAAAATTAAAATAATAAGGCATGGGGGGAAGGTATAGCTCAAGTGGTAGAGCGATGCTTAGCATTCAGGAGGTCCTAGGTTCGATCCCCAGTATCTCCAATAAATAGCTTTACTTACCTTCCCCTCCCCGAAAGAACCCAAAAAACAAACAAAAACAATAAAATAAAAAGCTATTGGGGTCATTTTTCAACCATATACAAGTGATCTTTGTATCACTGCAATCAGCCAGGCCTTCCAGGCGAATCTCATTTATAAACTAGCAGAAGAGAAGACAAATTGGAGTCCAGTCCTGCACTTTCACTTCCTGCTAGAGATGTGTGAATTTATACAGCTTTCTGAAAAGCAAAGTGGCAGTAAGAACTAAGAGTCTTAAAAATGTTCATGAATACTGCATCTTAACCAACCTACATATCCAACAACTAGGGAATGATCTATCTGTACATGGAATGTTATGTAACCAGGAGAATGTTGATAGTTTTTAACAACGGAAAATGCAGAATCATAGCAAACTGACTTCAACAGCACAATAAAAGAACTGTACACTACAACAAAGTGGCGTTTATCTCGGGATGCAAGGATGCTTTGACGTATGCAAATCAGTCAATGTGGTACACCTCAGTAACACAATGAAGGATAAAAATCCTATGATGGTACAATCTAAGGAATACAAAAGCAATCACGGAAGAAAGAATAAACAAATGCTACTACCAAGATGTTTATAATGGTCACTTCTGAGTTTGGGGTTTATAAGTAATATTTTTATGTATACAGGTTTGTGCTTTCATTTTTTTTTTACAGTGGATGTGTATTAATTTTGAAATTTAAAATTAGGAAAAACCAATATTTGTATTTTTAAAGGGACAGCAGGGCCTTGCCTCTAAATCACAGGATTGGGCACTATGACCACAATACACTTAAAAGGAGATATGGCAGAAGGGGCTGTTCTTAGAGAAAAAGATCCTTGTGGGAGGGACTTCCTCCTCCTTATAGGCCCCTGGGAAATGCTGTGAACAAGCTCCAAATCAGTGATGCCACATTCCTCTCCCCGTCCTCCTTCAAAGAGGAAGGGAGGCCCTGGACTGTGGAGCGGGCCTGGCTGACCCCCAGGCTCTATCCCTATAGCCTCTCACTGTCTACTTGTCTTTCAGATTCACTGACATCTGCCAAGAGTTGCAGGGGTCACTTCATCTTTATCCTTTAGTCCTCTCTTTCTGAAGTACCCTCTTTGCTTGTCTTTCTGGCTTCTAATTAAGCAAACTCTGAAGGCCAGAGAAGTGCCTTTTCCTCCACAAAGAGTCCCTTGCTGGCTGTCCCCACCATGGCCACATCCATCCAGGTGTCTGTCACTCCTGGAGCACAGCTCACACTATGTCCTGGTTGTCACCGGTTTCCCTCCTACCCTTTCCTGTTCCGTAGTGAACTCCTTACGACTCCCATTTATCCTTCCACCATCATTGCCCAGCAAGGACGTGGCCCTTGAGGAATTACTGTTGCAAACAAAATGCCTGGTTCAATTCTAAATATGACTGCTTGAGCAATCATGCTTTTGAACAGCATCCACTGAGCACTTATTTTATGCAAGGCTCTGTGGTCGATGCTCAAAGTGCCTGATCCCATTTGGTGTAGTCACTATGGAAAACAGTATGGAGGTTCTTCAAAATTTTTTAAATAGAACTACCATATGATCCAACAATTCCACTTCAGGATATTTATAAAATAAATGAGTCACAGGGATATGTGTACAGCATGGTGACTATTAATAATACTGTATTGCATATTTGAAAGTCACAAAAAGTAGCTCTTAAAAGTTCTCATCACACACAAAAATAATGTGTGACTATGTATGGTGACAGATGTTAACTAGGCTTATTGTGGTCATCATTTTGCAGTGTATATAAATATTGAATTATGTTGTACACTTGAATCTAATATAATGTTATAAGTCAATTATAAAAATGCTTGATCCCATCTGATTCTCGTAACAACCCTTGGGATAATGATAGGTTAAAAAAAAAGTGTCTCCACTTTTACAGATGAGCAAACTGGGGCCTGGAGAGATTCATGGTTTGCTCAACACTAAGGCTTCAGAGCTTGAAAGAAATCTGGACTTGAGCCTAGGTTCCCCAATTCCAAGCCCTACACCTTTTGCACTGTATCTCAGCCCAAAACTTAAAGGGGCTTCTCACAATACAAGGGACTAAGTGTTCAGAAACCTTCCTACTGCAAATCACCTAAAAATAGTAGACAGAATATTTTAAACTTCCTTTTAAATGCATGGCTGAGATTGCAAGAAAGTAAGGCAAAATACCTAGGGGCCAGACACAAAGCAGAAGCAGGAATCCAGGAATTATAAACAAGAACCAATGTTCTTATTGCCCTGAGAGCAACATGCAAACTGGGTGTTGTCAGACAGTCCTTGCTGAATTTCTTGGTGTTTCTCTGAGCAATGAAATTGACCTGTTATAAAGATAGAGAAAATCTCCTCTTTCTCCTAAAGCTCTTCACATTCTGAAGGTGGTAGACCTGGAGCCACCTGTCTCCTTCCCCATCTCCCTCCACTTCCATCCCCCTACCCAAGCTGTCTGCTCCAATACAAAGGGTAATAAAATCTTTCTTCCTCCTTCAGAGCCAAATGCTTAACTTTCAGTGCAGAGGCCTTCCCCTCCTTTCCCAAGAGAAAATTTACTTACATTCCAAAATAAACCACATGCTCTCTCTCATTCTCCCCTTTTGTCCCTATCTGCCCCTCTCCACCTCCAACTCTCTCTATCCCCACAGAGGAGAAGAGAAGCAAATGTAGCAGCTCCTATATAAACCCTGAGATACACAATTTTGAAATTCATCTCCAGTAAGATAGACACCCCCTCCCTTCTGTAAACATATGTGACATCTGCCTTCACTGTGTTGCTCTATGGGGATCTGGGGTGTAGGAAACTGTGCTACAGTATTATTAAAACCACTGCGACCACTGTGAGGCTGAGTAATAAAGGTCTGATTTCTGATTCAGAGGCCTAGTGTTTCTAGGTGTCTTTGTCTATCTGTGCATGTGTGTGTGTACATGTCTTTGTGGGTGGGGTCCTTCACAGGTTTGGACTCAACACCGTGTAATGCAACTATGCAGATGAAGTCAGAAAAAGGTTTGGATCTACCCAAGGAAAGTGTCTGCTGACCCATGTCCCTGAAGTCTATGCCTTTTGGCAAAGGGGAAATAGAGGAAAATCTGCTGCAGAAAGTGGAAAGGAGGGAAACTATTTCAGCACTGGCATTATCTCTGGACAGAACAGAATATATATATATATATTCCAAGAATTTACAATCACAGCCTCAACCAAACATGAGATTGGGGCACAAGTATATACTACTTTAAAGTTCTGATAACCTTAAAATAAACATCTGATTTAAAAAGGCCCTGGATTGGTAATGTCCCCTAGGCACCTGAAAGAAAAATCTTCTCTAAAGTAACATATTCTCAACCCAAGCATCAAAGAAGACCCACTAATAAAGGTCCAAGGGAGTAGAGCTTATAATCAAATCACAAAACATAGATGGAAACAAGGTACCATAAGCAAGAATCAGAAAGAATATCTGCAGAAGTGACTCTCAGAATGTTAAGATAGTGGAATTATTAGGTAAAGAATATAAAATAAGTATGTTTACCATGTTTAAAGAAATAAAGGAATCAAAAACACAGGAAATGAACAAAATTCTATAAAATAACTAGCAAGGTTTATAAAGAACAACACAGAACTTTTGGAAACGACAAAATAGAATACTTTAAATTAAAGAGAAGATTAAATACTAATCTGCAGAAGAGAGAATAAGGAAAATAGAAAATAAATCTGAAGAGATTACCGTTCTGCTTTCTGGTTCCATGTGGAAGAAACTTGAAACTCATCACTTTATCCTAACAACAAGTAAAAAGCTAAACACACTGAAAAATCAACAACCCTTCTTAAATCTGTAAGAGAAATGAGGTCACAGGGCAAATCGCTGACAAAATTGGAGAGACAGACAGGCAGATACAGAGAATGACATCTCAGACCAGAACTGTCCATGGGAACTTGTGTTAAGAAGTTCCTTTTATCCCGTACTTTATGTCCAGCTATCAAGAAAAAATTACAAGACAGCAACAGCAGAATACACATTCTTCTCAAGTTGACATGAAACATCACTAAAATAGACCATATTTGGGGCCATGAAACACACATTAACACATTGAAGTGAATAGAAATCATACAATGTCTGCTCTTAGACAATAATGGAATTAAACTAGAAACCAATAACAGAAATATAATTAGATAATTTCAAAACATATGAAGATTAAATGATACATTTCTAAATAACACATGGGTCAAAGAAGAAATCTCAAGAGAAATATTTTGAACTAAATGAAAATAAAAACATGACATCAAAGTTTGTGGGATGCCATGAAAGCAGTGCTTAGAGGGAAATTACACTGCTGAATGCATGTATTAGAAAAGAAGAGTGCTTGCTTAGGCAGCACATACACTAAAATTGGAACGATACAGAGATTAGCATGGTCCCTGCACAAGGATGACACCCAAATTCATGAAGTATTCCATATTTTTAAAAAGGAAAAAAAAGATCTAAAAATCAATCATCTAAGTTTCCATCACAGGAAATCAGAAAAAGAAAAAGTTAAATCCAAAGTAAGCTGAAGAGAAGAAATAATAAAAATTACAGCAGAAATCAATGATACTGAAAATAGGAAATCAATAAAGAAAATCAATGAAACCAAAACCTGATCCTTTAAAAAGACAAATAGAATTGGTAAGCCTCCCCAGGCCAACTAAGAGAAAAAGACAACATAAATCACTAATATCAGAAATCAAAGAGGGGATATCATTGCAGATCCCATGGATATTAAAAGGATAATATTATGAAACAAGTGTAAGCCCACAAATTTGATAACCTAGATGAAATGGACCAATTCCTTGAAAGACATCATCTGCCAAAACTCACAGAAGGCATAGACAACCTGAACAGGCCTGTATCTATTAAAGAAATAGAATTAATAATTAATAACCTTCCAAAATAGAAATCACAGGCCCAGATGGATTCACTGGTGAATTCCACTGAACATTTAAGTTAGAGATAAAAGGATAAATAACAAGAAAGAAAGGTTAAGAGACATGGAGAACAGAGTGAAGAAGACAGAAGTCTGTTTAATCATAATTCCAGAAGGAGATAATTGGGATAAAAAAGGATGAAGTAATATTCAAAAGAATTATGGCTGAGATTTTTTTCAGTTGATAGAAAAGACATGAATCCTCAGATTCATGAAGTATAACAAATCACAAGAAAGA